TGGCTGGCGCCTTAGCCTGTTGAGCTATAGGCACCGAGCCGAGATGGCTTTTCTTTAAGTATGGGGGTGGTTAACTGCATCAGTGTTGTATATTTGGAACATCTTTAATAGTTACATTTTGTTTAAAACAAATATGTATTTATTCTTTCAGATGTTTTTATACCTATGCCAGAGAACTTATTAGTAAATTTAAATGAAAGTAAAGAGGTAAGGCACATTTTGTTATCTGACATGTTTAATTGAAATATTAAAGGAATATATATTTAAAATGAACTTTAAGTAATATTTTCTTCTTTTTGTGACGTTTCTAAGATGCATAGTATTTATATTTACTTTTAGTTAAAATTCATTAGATGAAGAGCTCTGGAGTTTGACCTTGGGCTGATCATTTTTAAGTCTAATGCAGCAAGTTGGGAAGAACACCTGAAGGAAACCTGTCTTGCCAGCCAGTTGGGAAGTTGGGTGGGTTGCTGACATAAAGCTTCTGGTCACTGCATAGAAGCACATTAGCTAGGCTGCTTTCAGTGCCCTTTGCTTTTCTGATTCACAGAGTGTCATTGGGGTCAGTTCAGAAGAAACTCTTATTACCTGCCTGGAAATTGCCATGACATAATGCAGTGAGAGGTGAACAGAATGTGTCTGAAGGGGGGATGTTGTCTACCCTGTACATGCATATATGCCATAGGGGTAACATTTTAACTAGCAAGTCTATGGTCTCTGCTCTTGGCAATGGTGACTGTGCCATAGTGCAAAGTATTTTTCTCCCTATTAACTCTATTTGTACAATCTAACCTGAATAGGTAGTTATTCTTTATTTTATTTATCTTTTGTAGTCATATCGCTAGTTGACAAAGTTACTAGATATCTTAGATTTTGCAGCAGGGAAAAGCGGAACTACTTTGGAACCTAAAAAAATAAAGTATGTAGAGGTGATGGATAAGGCCATATTTCATGGCGTTAAAATATATCAAATCTTTAAACTGTGATGTTTCTTTTGGATACATTTTGGACTTAATAGTCTTGCTGGACTACTGCATGTGCAAGAACTGTAAGGCCCCAACTTTGATATGTCTTGCTTGCCAATTTATAATGTTGACTTAAAATGGCTTTCTTGTCATTTGACCAACTTCATTGTTTATTGTAGTGTCTGTAGATTCTCTGACCATCTTCATGACTCAATGTCTTGTCTGTTGTATTAGAAACTAATTAGATGGGAAAAGAATTTTTTAGTTTTAACACTCTCGAGTTTTCTTGCTTTATTTCACAAGCTTGTTCAAGATTTACTGAAAACTTTGCCACAAATGTTTACCAAGACACTGGAGACCCAGAGTGCTTTGGGTCCGGCACTTCAGGCTGCCTTTAAGCTGATGTCCCCAACAGGTGGTCGAATGTCTGTCTTTCAAACACAACTCCCAAGTCTTGGCGTGGGAGCCCTGAAACCACGAGAGGAACCGAACCAAAGGTCATCTGCTAAGGTAAGAAAGTTGTAAAATGTATTAATATGATTTATGCTGGTGCTCTCTTCCTTTGACTACAGCTCCTTTGGGTTTGTTTTGGGTTTTTTGTTTGTTTGTTTTAGATGAATTCTCACTGTGTCACCTTCAGTAGAGTGCTAGGGCTCACAGCAACCTCAAACTTTTCTTTCCTCAAATTCTCTTGCTTCAGCCTCCCAAGTAGCTGGGACTACAGGTGTCTGCCACAATGCCTGACTGTTTTTTTGTTGTAGTTGTCATTATTGTTTAGCTGGCCTGGTTAGGGTTTGAACCCTCCAGCCCTGGTGTATGTGGTCAGCTCCCTAACCACTGAACCACGGTTGCTGAGCCTTTTTTTTTTTTTTTTTTT